GAATATTAGTTTGTTTACAATGAGAGGCGTTCGTCGATCGTGGGTGGTTTTACTCGTACTTCTCAACAGAATTTGATGGAGTCTGACCTATTTCCATACGAAATCAAAGCCACAATTTCGTGTGCGCCAATTTGCGCACGCGTCCCTTCGTAATTTGTAAGCGTAATCACGACGCGCGCGGTAATTAACGAGCGCGGCGTCGCCGGCGCAGCCATCGTCACGTTAATTAATTATGCGAGCGTGCAATAAACCTGCCATTTGTGTCGCGCGCGGCGGAGGCAGGCGCACCGCATACAGGTATTGGTTTATCGGTAATCGTTGCCTGGGAGGTGGAGAAAGGTGTGTGCACGCGCAATCCCGCCGTCAAATGGTGCGCGCGGGCGCGGCACGCAACCTAATCGATATCTTCAGCGTTGGATTGGTGCGTATACAACTAGGAAATATAAAAATCACAAAAATCCCCTTCACTATACCTCTAACGCCATCTATTGAGGCTTTAAACTAACTATTACATTGGATGTGGTCACTTTTAGTACTGCTGTCGCCATCTGGTGGTGTTTAACTGAACTATACATCTACTGCTATTTAAAATCTACTTTACAGGTTTCTACAACAGAAAATAGCTAAAAATCATCAAAAGAAAACTTTTTTGAGCTTGGAAAGCATTCACACACTCATTAATCCCTATAAATCTCGATTTGATAAGCCACACGTCCTCATCCATGCGTATAATCCCCTTGGAAAGGACAATGCGTCAATTTTCTAACACCCGGAATAAATTACGCACTTACATGAACGTATTTACTGTGAACAATAATTTCCCGGCGAGTTTTTGTGGTGCAAGAGCTTCTATAATCACTAATTGATAACTGATGGACGCTGGCGGGTCTCACACTTGCGGCCGGTCCAATCAGAGTGCATTATTCGTGCTTGCGCAATTAAGGCGGCGAAGAATAATGCGCGAATTCGCAATGGCTATAGAATTACCGCAGAGAAGAAAGAAAGGGCCGAGCGAGCAAGTACATTTAGTCGACCAAATGATTCGGAAAAGTTCTAATGAAAATTAGGACTTTCGTCTCGGCAGCGCCGACCAAAGATGGTCATTAGGCGTCTTTTTTTTGCTCTCTACCAGTCGTCGGAGTTGTCTCCCCTTTTCAGAGAGGAGCTGATGCTGGATCAGCTCTTACTTTACAATCATCACCCAATAAAACCTCGGAGGGAGAACTGTTTCAACGAGATGTAAGCTGAAATAACTGAATTGTTTATTGTGAAACCGGAAAAGAATTTGTCACCTCAAAAGGGATTCATTTTTTTTTAAATTTGAGTTATTTTGTATGGCACGAGTCACACCCCAATGAGAAGTAATTATCATCGATAAAACAGAGCTCTGTAAATTTCCCTATCTAAATATTATGTTTTTTTGTGATTTGAGTTGATTTTTTAGAGATTTGGAGTTATAAAGATTAGTTTTAGGTTTTATGGGTCCATTTAGGTGTGGATGTGTGTATTTTTATGAAGTCGAAGTTAAACTTCCTCTTCGTGTGAAGTTTGATTGGTTTCTGCCGCAATTTTAGTGCGTTTTAGCTGTTTCTGATTGCCGCGCGGCGATGATGTGCGCTGGTGATGAGCATCTGCTGAAGGCAGGCCGTTAGTTACGAGCGGAAAGCTCGAAAGCTCAAATGATGGTGTAAACAACGTCCGGAAGCCACGTCGCGGATTGTTTACATCAATAATTATGTGTTTTACTAATCACTTCTTCTTTTTATGCTTTATTTTGTGAAAAAATTTAGTAAAATGAATAAAAATTGATTTATTTTAATTAAATCTTGTAAATAATGATTGTTTTTGGTTAGAGTATGTAATTATCTTCAATTTAAAACAAAGTTTGTGCTTTTATCATTATTAGTTTTTAAGATATAGCTAATTTTGCAATAAATTTTGATAAAATGAAATACAACGTCAAGGTCGCACTTTTTTTGAAATTACATAAAAACTACTAAAGATAACAATTTGTAATTTGGTACACTTATTCACAATTAAATTCTCTTTCCAATAATGTCTTACTCAATATTCTAGCTTTTTAAATACCTAAGTTACAGAGATGCCAAAAAACAATTGTAAAAATGATATTAATTTAAGAACAAAAATATATTAAAATTGATTTTTTTTATAATAATTAAACTAAATCTTGTCAAATTTTGGTGTTTATAAATAGTATTTAAAAATATCTGCAGTTTAACATAAAATTTAAGTCTCTATCATATTTACTTTTAGAGTTACACTTGATTTTACAAAAAAATTAAAAAACCTCATTGAAACACATTTTTAGTGATAACAAAAAAACCACAAAAGATACCAACTCATATTTCACTGCACTTATTCCCAATAAAATTCCCTTTCCAACGATACCTCATTCAATACCCTACCTCCACAAACACCGTAGTTATACACCCGTCAAAATATTATATAAAAAATGTTAACATAAACAAAACATTATGATTTATACCTTTCAGCAAACAAAATCCAAAACTATGCAAACAAATTAATCCGCTACTTTGCCAACGCTCAAACATTCTCACATTCTTACAACAACATCACAGAGTATCCACAACTACAATTTATTACAATCAAGGTGCAAAGCTCTTCGCTACCGTGCAGAAAAATAAATTTGTATATTGTGCACAAACTCCCATGATGTTTGTGTACATTACCGCGGGAGATAAACGAGATAAACTCAAAATTATGATGTATAATAACCATATGCCTCGGCCGGTGTGTATTATGTGTGCCGAAAACGCGCAAGGTAAGTTATCGTGCGCGTAAAAAGCCACTTCGCTCAAGTGCCCCAGCTCCGACGCAGCTTTCTGCCCCGGGATTTGTTCATAACTCCCGAAAACATGCTCTGGTATACTTAGCAGATATGTTTATTAAACAACTATTTTAAACAGCATTTATAAGTGGTATCAAAACCACATACAGAGTGTTTAAAAGTCAAAAACAACAAAAAATCAACTAAAACCTCTTTAAATTTATATTTTATGGAAACACTCAGTGGATAATTGTGGATGAGCATGGCGCAGATACCAAGCATGTTGAGTAAGTAATTTATATAGTACGCAAGAAGGTACTTAATAATAAATAAAGTGTTTTCGCTTTGTAGGTTAAGCTCAAAGCTCATAAATTCATAATTTTATCATTTTTCCGACTTGTAAAATTATTTTTAGACCAAAATACACTAGTCACCTCTAAAGAGGTTAAATTAACTCAATTTCATTGAGGGTTGTTTTGCTTATTCCGACGTTTTTCCTTCTTTTCGACGTGCTGGGAGGAAGATTCGGCGTAATTTTTTGCTTTCGCTGCGCGACGGCGAGCGTATTACTTAAATCGACGTCGATTACATCAATCGAAGGAGCTAGCTGCGGTTTCCCGACCTGACGGGGGCGGTGGAGGAAATTGGTGCCGGGCGGGGGAGAGAAAAAAGCGCGTACATAAAGGACCGCACGAAGAGGAATGAAAGCACCCGGCGCGCAGGCACGTAGCACACGTCCGCGAAAACGTCTTTATAATGTGACATCTCAAAGGTACGAGTAAAGCTAGTAAAAGATTCGTTACCATAGAAATGATCAACAATCGAAATAAATCAATAGAATTTTGTACAACCCTTTGGTTTTATTTTTATTTTTATTTTTACGTGGGATTTTATGTGGAATTGAGAGAAGAAAAAAGGGTGAAACGAATGGAAACACGTGTCACTCGAAATTCATAGAGTTAATGAAGCTTTAAAAGCTCAAGGTACAAAGCACGACGTTTAAATTTCCGGTTTATCAAACAAAATAACAAAATAATGAAATTTTGTAATTAAAGTTTTCGTGGAGTAGATAATTATAGGTATTAATTACTTTTTAAGACAATTTTCTTAATTTTATAGTATATTAAGTGTCAAGTGGTAAATGGGAGTTTTAGTCACGAGTGTTTAATCAATCGAGTGTATAATAAAGTTTAGCCACGTGATGCTTATGCTATTTTTTCTACTTTCACTTTATTTTCACGTTTAATTTTTATATTTGAACTTTTATATGATTTTATGCTGCATTGCGCAGCCGTATGCTCCACCCCGTGACTAAAACTCATGACTAAAGTACTTTAATCACAACTTCGACTATCCATTTTTAAATTACCAATTTTCATGTCACAAATCGACAGTGCTTTAAAGGTGGAAGTAAAAAACCTTAATTTTCTTGTAGGTAAATGCGCAAGCGCAAGTTCCAACCCGTGACTAAAATCCGTGACTAAAGTACTTTTCTCATTTTTTTAGCCATCCATGTATAAAATACCACTTTTCATGTCTCAAAACCATAGAAAATCCAATGCTTTATAAGTAGAAATAAAAAACTTTAATTTTATTGTATTATGTATGTATGTATGCGTTTCTGAAAGTAGTAATTCGATATATTGCTCTGTAACTGTCATCAACATCAAGTAAAGATGTGTTAAAGACGAACGATGTGTTGTTTTAGCTCTGAATGTTTACAACTTGCATCCCACATGTAATTTTATCTCCTTGTTTATAATTTCTGAGCATTTTTCATTTTTCTTTTACTTTTTAATATTTCATCATAACTCAACAAAAAAAAAACTCGTGAATCTTATAAAGTGGTTCTTAACATCTCGAAATCTTGAATAATTCAACTCGAATCGCTAATCTTAAAATTTTCACTTTACAATTCATCAAAAGTCAAAACTTGGTCGAGCTTTTCGAATCTTATAACGCGCACATTCATATGCAAATCGCGCCGCCTCCTTTTCGCACGAGAGCAGCACGCCCACATCGACACAATGTCATCTGATTTCCACAAGGCCGTAATTTCAGCAACTTCTTCAATTTTAGTACTCGTACATTTCAAGGGGTTGAAAATCAAAAAATCAAAAAAAAAATAATTTTTTTAATTTAAATTTATTTATTTATTGTTAATAGGAATTTTAAATATTTCAATGCACATGTTCACAATATCAACAAATTAAATATTAAACAGTCTAAGTAATAATCAGTGCCTAAACTTTATATACAAAGTGATTAAACTCTAATTCACTAAAAATTAAAATTGCTTTGGTTATTCCTTTGGTTTATTCAATACATAACCTAAAAATTAATTACTAGAATGTTCAACATCAGTTGGATCCTCCCCTGAGCTCCCAACTTGTGAATTTAACCCAACACTACCCCCACCACCACCCCCAGGATGATAATAATTAAAATACGGGAATAACTGATGCATCCCGCCGCCATATTGTTGACAAAGTGACATCATAGATTCCTGTAACGATTTCCCATACTTCAATCCGTTGATATTATTAAACCGTTCGTAGAAAGCTTCCGTCGCACCCGGATAGAAGCTCTTATTATACATGGGCTTCTGATGCTGTAAGAATATCGGCATATCATCCTTGACCAGGACTTTAACCGCCACTTTACGCGCATTCTGATTGAGCAACGTACTCTCTTGAAGCTGGAGTGCTTTGCGCTTGGTTTTGTAGCGTCTGTTCTGGTACCAGATCTTCACTTGTGTTTCGGTGAGTTTTAAAGCTTGCGCAAGGTCGGCCCGCTCGGGTCCACTGAGATATCTCTGCTGGCTGAAACGACGCTCCAATTCGAACACCTGCGCGTGGGTGAAGGCGGCGCGTGAACGCTTCTTCCGCGCCGCCGCCGAGGGTGAAGAAGATGATGAAGCAACAGCATTACTACCACTACCACTGGCGTGTGATGATTGGACGCGGTCCATAGGTAATGACTCGTAGTGTTGATGGTAATCAGCGAATGTTGACGAAGAATAAAAACGATCTGTAAATTTATTTTTATTTTTAAATTATTTGATGTAATATCCTGTTTAATAGGTTAATGGTTTTGTAATGATACTAGAAAAAGGTGTGGGGAGGATATATTGTGCGTGTAACCAATTACCGAAATTGAGTAACACCCTAAAAGACGCTTTGAGGTTATGCAAAGTGAAAAGCTTTTAACGTGAAAGCTCCTTGTACCAGCCGGTACCAACTTGGGTATATTTTTACATAAAGTGATGACAAATTGATGACCAAACTCATCCAGGTAATTAAATCTATGTACCTTTGGTGAAACCGGAAATGGCGCTGATTTTACGCATATCGATGGCTTTCTCTTCGTTTTCATCACTGCTGTCACTCACAACATTCAACTCCATGATATCTTCGTGATCCTGATCATCCATGGCTGTATCCTCGAGATTTAATTTTGTTTCCGGTGACTTCCGGTTACCACTTAGGATGTCATTGATGGAGAATGGTGTAACTGATAATTTATTATTGTTGTTGTTGTTGTTTTCATTATTAGCACTGTCCACTTCCATTGTTGATGATTTGATGGTTTCACTGTGAGTTGGGTTGCGGGAGCGTGCGTCGCAGGACAAACCCCGGCGCGAAATGAGCGCGTCGCGCGACGAGTGGGTGATTGAATCGGGACGCGCGAGTGTACACCCACTGAAAGCTCACATTGGGGAGTGCTATTGGAGAGGCGTCGCGGCGCGAGCTTTTTCAGGGCATGTGCGTTGGTTCATCTTGAAAGCTTTCACGCACTCGCAATAAGTAATAACGTTTCAAAAAAAAAAATTAAAATTTTTGTTTTGCGTCATTCTGTAAATGAATAATTTACCAAGAAGAATAAAATAGAAATAAAATTTATTTGTTCTAGTGAATTACACAGTACATTAGTCAGTGACTAAAAAGTTATTTCAGTGTCTTCACTTGTCTTGTCAATTCTTTATTTGTATAGATTTGTGCATCGATTGCGCACTCGGCTTTAATTAACTCGCGCTTTCAGTTAACTTAATTTTAAGCACGAGTAACTCAAGCGCGCTGAATAAATACGCCGCTTTTCGATCTTCCTGTGTGTAGGTAGCGGCCTGCCGCGCGGTTTGTTTATAATGTTATAAAAGCAATCCGTCAGTCATCTGCCAGCGCTACTCTCACTCCATTACTTTACGCACCAGCGACCATTAGCAACATGAAATGTTTTTTTACACCGGGGGCGGATTATTAACAAAATACGAATTTTCTCGGTGAGTGGAATTATTTATTCTGAAGTTGCACTGGTGGCTGGCGTTTGTAACAATAAACAAATGCATTTTATTAATGGTTTTTATTGGTTTTCCAGGCGTTTACTTCGCTGGATTTTATTAACGCAATTATTATCGCTCTGTTTGTGTGTTCAAGACCAAGGCAGAGCATCGATTAATGATCCTATGCATCCTATGCAGTGTAAACAGCTAATTAAATTCGGTTTAAGCACACAAAACAAAGCAATATTTAAAAAATTTAATTTTTTTTCTAAAAAAAATTTTTTTTATGTTTTTGAATGTTTTGGAACACTCTGTATAGATATACTTGTGCGTTTTGCTTGGTGAACACTTGTGCGCCCATCGAGAGAGCGTTTTCAATCGAATTGTTTGCGTTTGCGTTCGAGATGAACGCAGATAAAAGGATCTATTAGGGCCTTGCGATGCCCCGCTGTTTGTTGCGCTTCTTCCTCTCGTCATCGACAGGCATTATCTTACAGTAGTCTACAAATAGGAAGAGAAGCTAGCTGAATGTATAAACAATCAATTAAAATTTAAAAAAATCAAAAAAATTCAAAACTTTTCACGAAATTTAAAAAAATAAAATTTGACTTTGAGATGGCTTTGAAAAAAATTGAGCATTTCGCTGGCCACAACCAAATTGCTCCTTGACTCCTACAACATCATGCAATCCACATCATAAAACATGTTTATTCACTATTATTACGAGTCTGTGTACTGTAGACTAAGATACCAGGTTATCTACAGAGTGTTTTGTTTTTTCTTTTTGAAATTTTTGAATTTTTGATGTTTTGATGCTTTCTGATACACTCTGTAGGTGTTTGAGAAGAGAATCAAGCGTTTGATGTAATCACGAGACGCTGTTCTCGCCGGAAAGCTAAACAATCCATTAAACATCGTTTTTGGATGATAAACGCTCGCGAGCGCGCGAATGTTGTTTAGTCGAGGAAAAAATACTCGCGGTAATTGTGATGCTCCACTCTCTTTATGATGTTGCGTTTCGGTGGCGGCTGCTGGTGCTCAAAGTTGCCGGTGCGCCGGTTTTAATGGCCGCGTGCGTGTGCTTTTATTTTGTTTGTGAGCGCTTTTATTACTTTGCGTCGGAGACACAAATATACACGCATTTTATACTTTATTATTACTAACTAACTAATTTCTTACTTAGTAGGTAAATGTTTTTTTATAAAATTAAGAATTATTCAAAATTTTAAATGAATTTTAATAAAATTTTGTTTTGTGGATGAATGTGATGAAAAAATATTATTAACTAGCTGTTGCCCGCGACTTCGTTTCCGGCAGTGTTTAATAAAAATGTAATTCGTTTTTACTCTCTTGTTCTAGACATACTCGTAGTAAGAGTCAATTCTATCAATAAGATTAGCAATTTTAATTTAAAGAAATTAATTATATAAAGTTTTGTCAATAGTGCACTTCAGCGCGCCATCTCGAATTCAACTATTTAACTATAACTATGATTGAATCTCAATGTCAAATTTTATTCTATAGAAAAGAACTGTTTTGAGGATTTTCCCGGCAATTATTCGAATTTTTCTCACCTTTTAAACCTTCCCTAGACCTCCACGAATAATTCAAGACCAAGATAAGATAAATCCGTTCAGCCGTTCTCGAGTTTTAGCGAGACTAACGAACAGCAATTCATTTTTATATATATATATAGATTCAATTAAAATATTAAATGCTCTTAGGCACTGAGTTATTCGGGTAAACAGCAAGAGATTTTTCAAATATTTGCGCAGACACTCAATGAAATTCGACACCGATGAGCTTTCAGCTCGTGGTAATGTAAGTGAATTGTTTAGTTTTTGCACGAGCGTAAAATAATACTCTTTAACTTGTTTTAGGTGTTTATGTTTCAAATATTTATTTATTTTTGAAGTCTGTTTCAGTAAATAGTGAAATATAATCATTAATATTCTAAATATGAATTCTTTTAAAAGTTTTATGAGGTTTACAGCGATTACAGCGCCGCTAACATGTCAATAGCTGTACTAACTAAACAGAGTGAACCATACACTCAACACAAGTTTAGTTTGTCGCTTCACTAAAACTTCTAGGAAACTACTATTCGTGCTTCACGCGTTTAGTACAATAAAACGACAACAGATGGCTATACTATGCGTATTTAAAGCAATAAACTATCAATTATACACTACACACACAAATAAATGGTTTAAAATCTGTGTATACACATTACTACTACAAAAATAATCACATTTTATTATTTTCTAATGTTTCTGATGATGCCCACAGGGCGAAACATGTAAAACTCGCATACAAAATTGTAAAATCCAAGAAAATCACAAAATTATTTTAATAAATACATTTTATAATCACTTTACTTAGCTTACTCAAATTCAATTATTAAATTCAAAAAAAATCATTTTTGGTTTAACATTTATGTAAATTCGTGTATATATTAAATGTAAAGTCGATGAATGTAAAATTTTCGGCACGTTTGAAGACCATAAGCCTCAAATTTTTATCTTTTGATAAGCCTAATCGTTTCCACCTTTTGAGAGAAAAAAACGAAGACAAATTTCGCTCGTAATGTGGTGCCGCTGCCGACGCATCCACACAAGCCATACATGACAAGTTGAAAATGAATATCGAGCATGTTATGTTTTTCATCTTCGCTCACCAGACGGGGGCATCGTGTCGATATGGATCCGGCGCCAGGCGTCTACGCACAACCATTCACACACCCACACATACACACATTCAAACATATTACTATCATGTTCAGATTTGCATTTGGGGCATACGGTATAAGTTTACACTTGGGCAATATATATCCCTATTTTTCAACTTCAGTTTTTATAAATATAAAATATTTATTGATTTTACGTGATTTTTTTTCAGGTTTTTTGTTGAGTTTAACATGTTTCGCCCAGAGGGTCTATATTACTCAGTTACAGTTATTACACTACACACATTTGACATTTGAGTTGTAGGGTAACATGTCCCAATGGGGTAGTATTCAAATTCTCGTTTTCTGTTTCTGGTTCCCTTTCTTATATATTTGTGACGTGTGTGACACGAATGAGAATGAGATGGGATGCGAGTTGTAATTTATGTGGGTGCTTAGGTGTCGGAGATGCGTCTCCGACATAGACTCGACATGCCTACATGATATTCCTATTATCTGAGCGATTAGTGAATTTTATGCGTCTGGGCTGGCATGACAGGTTTCGCCAGGAACACAAATCAAACTTATAGGCGCCACCGATCAGGCGCCACGCATAAATTTATTCGAGATCGAAACATTTTGTGCGTAAAATTAGTGTGTAAACACGCAAAATAAAAAAATTAATATTTGGAGTGAAAAATTAAATTTTTGGCACTAGTTTTACCAAATTGATTGTTTAAACATTAGTGATCAAGCATCCTTTATAAATTTATCAAAAATTTAGCAACAGGTAATGCGTAAAATTAGTTTTGAAACGCGCAAATAACAAAAATTGAGAAAAGTGCATAAAATATCAATTTTGCGCACTTGTTTTACAAAACTAAATATTTAAGCATTACTGATAAGGTCCCAATCATAAATTTATACAAAAATTGAGAATTTTGTGCGTAAAATCAATTTTTAGACACGCAAAATTTAAAAAAATAATATTTTGTGTAAAAAATTAAATTTTCTGCACTAGTTTTACAAAATTGATTATTTAAGCATTACCCATCAAGCATCCCTTATAAATGTATCCAAAAATTAAACATTTAATGCGTAAAATTAGTTTTTAAACGCGCAAATAACAAAAAATTAATAAAAAGTGAATAAAACCTCATTTTTACGCACTTGTTTTACAAAACTGATTATTTAAGCATTACTGATAAGGTCCCACTCATAAATTTATTCAAAAATTAAGAATTTTATGCGTAAAATCAATTTTTAAACGCGAAAACTGCAAAATTTAATGGAAACAGAAAATTAATTATTTTACTATTAATATTAAATAATTTCCAACTTAGAAAATAATAAAATTCCTTTGTTCATTGTATAAATACATCAATCTAACTCCTAACAAAGTCAATCCATGAGAAATATTTCAAGTGCATGCTGAATATTTCAACTGTGACGTCACGTTACTCACAATTTCGTATTGTTTATAAACTCATTAGATTTCTTTGACGTCGAGTAAGCACGCCGCTGCTATGGTTAGCGAGTATACCACAGCGACACTTTTTTTTTTCTAGTACGGAATACATTTGTTTTTTTAAACGATTTAATTGGTTGAATGCACCACTCAGGAATAAGTGCTTCCGACGCGTGTAGAAAAAAATATTAAACATACCGAGTAGTTGCCTGCTCTCCTCTGACTTTCTAAGACTAGAGACTAACCTGGAACAAAAGAAAATCATTAATTAATCATCAATTACGTATTCAATTTAGAAAATAATAAAATAATAAAAGAAAATCAAGTTAGTTCATGTTTTGTAAAAGTTAAAAATTAAATTGTTATCAGTTTAGTAGAATATTTATAAACCTGATAAACTGGAGAACCATAAGAACTGGATTGGACCGGACCATTGGACCAACCATTGCACATCTCACACACAAGCACAAAATCACTATTACATTACTGATAATAATTTCTAATTTTCCCGAATATTAATTTTAACTGTGTTCATAATAAATGTTTCTGATTTTAATTTTTATACGCACGAAAAGAGTCTTCACAATACCGCGTCGCGAAGCAAACTAACACGAAATTCAGCAAAACAAGTTGCGATAAATGATAACGGCATTTCGCGCGTGTCTGATATTCACTCGACGCTCACCTTTGTACCTTATCTTGTGCGATTCGCTGCGCGCGTACATGGATAAACACTGAAACTAGTCAGTTTGAATTTGTTTGTTATTTCTTTGTTTTGAATCGTATTTATTTTATTTTTATTTTTATTTGTGTGGATTTATTTAATTTTACTTTGAATATGCGTAGGAATTATGAGGCGCCTAGCTGAACTCTGCTGGTTCCCACAGCATAAAAAAGGAAATAAAGATAAGAATGCAGCGATTTATTTGGGAAACCGTCGGAGGCAGCATAAGTGAGTGCCATAACATGCCAGAAACACCACGAAAGCATAAAAACTGTTGTAATTAGTAACATGTAATCGTATATTAGTAAAGACTTGAACTATAACACCAATAAATGAAATTGTAATAAATATGGTGTAACATTAGCTGAAACACTCTTTAAACTGATAAAATATATATTAAATATTAATTAATTATGTTAAATATAATTTTTGAAGGACTTATAGGTACATGTTTCGCCACGAGGGCATCTTCAGTAACTCTTCACAATAAAACTATGTGCTTGCTATATGAACCTCGCAAGTAAAAGCAATAGATGCGCAAATTTAACGCATTGATGGCGACCTTGTGCGCGAATTGCAATAGGCATGTTAGCGGAGATCACAAGAGAGAATAGCAACGACAATACACGAGAATTTGATAAGAAAGTGTAAATTTGTGTTCAAAACAAATACAATTCTTTGCTGATAAATAAGGAAATCAAGAATACAATTCTGTTTTATGGTTTTTAGTTCATGCTAGTGCCATCTCTGAATGCTACAGATAGTAGTCTCGCATTTAAGATTATTAAAACTAATGAATAATTAAATTAGATTTGTGAAATTTTAATTTCTTAAGGTGAAAGTTGTTCTTTATGAATATTTGATCAACTAACAGAGATAAATAGGAATAAATTGCAGAGACTATTCTACGGACTATTCTCTATAAGATAGGCAAGTTAAAACGGAAATCTGAGAGAATAAATTTTCATTCTTAAGAAAAAATTGCCAAGGGGGGGTGCTTGATACTTTTTTTCGACGATTTTTGGTAATTAATAGGGGAAGGTAGCATAATTTGGACCAGCGCCTAAGTTGGACCACCACGATATCTGCGGACTGTTGAAGTTTGTGCAAAAATTGACTGGCCCCTTGTTTTACTCGTATTTATAAACAATTAATGCAACTATTTGGGTTAAAACTTGCCGCGTGCTTTCGTCGTGACAACAACTTCGTGTATCATTGATTATCAAATCTATTATAACGACGTAAGTGCAAGAGCTGTCAAGCCGTTAAAACGTTAGTTTTACCGATTATTATTTTATCATCAGAAAGCTTCTTTATTTATCTCTAATTTATAGTATTAATTTTGAGAGGTTATGTTATATTAAGATTGTTGTTGATCATTATATATAAATTCTTCAAGTTGCCCAAGTTGGACCGAAGACAGACACCGGAGTTTTACAGGGAAAACGTATATCATTTTTTCGACCTCCTAGAAAAGCTTGTGGACGAGCTCAAATCTTCGAAATGATCCACTGTATGAAATGCCGCACTTTGGTTTATACAAAATGTGCTTGTGTTACTGCTAAAACTAAAATTTACTGTTGTGTCAATTGCCGTTAAAAAAGCATGGTCCAATTTAGGAAACCGCGCGGTCCAATTTAGGAAACCGGTTTCTTAATTTGGACCAAAAACACAATTTTTTTAAAATGAAATTTGAGGGGTATAAATATAATTTTTACTTAAACCAAAAATATCATTTTGTTGGTAAGCCTTGTGAGTTACTTTTCCGCTACTTAATTTTTATTGACAGTTTATATGTGGCTCTATAAATCAAAAAATATAAAAATGGTCCAAATATGGCTACTTTCCCCTATCTCTTAAACTAAAAGCGATAGCAACCAACGAATTACTGATTATGATAGATTGGAAAATTCTCTTTAAGATAAAAATATAAAATAATTATATTTTCCACAGTAAAAGGTTGAAAAACGCGACTAAAAGTGCTAAAAAGTGACATTTTGCAATTTTTGACGATTTTTTTCAATCGCGAATATCTCGTAAACTAAAAGAGATAATTAAGATCTGATCGCAGCGTTTTAATCTACGAACTATTCTCTATAAGATAGGCTAGTTAAAACGGAAATCTGAGAGATGAAATTTTCAAACTTAAGAAAAAAATTGCCAAGGGGGGGTGCTTGATACTTTTTTTCGACGATTTTTGAAAATTCATATCTCTTAAAGTAAAAGCGATAACAACCAACGAATGACTGATTATGATAGATTGGAAAATTCTCTATCAGATAAAAATATAAAATAATTATATTTCCCACAGTAAACGGTCAAAAAACGCGATTGAAAGTGCTAAAAAGTGACATTTTGCAATTTTTGACGATTTTTTTCAATCGCGAATATCTCGTAAACTAAAAGAGATAATTAAGATCTGATCGCAGCATCTTAATCTACGGACTATTTTCTATAAGATAGGATAGTTAAAACGGAAATCTGAGAGATGAAATTTTCATTCTTAAGAAAAAATTGCCAAGGGGGGGTGCTTGATACTTTTTTTCGACGATTTTTGATAATTCATATCTCTTAAACTAAAAGCGATAGCAACCAACGAATTACTGATTATGATAGATTGGAAAATTCTCTATCAGATAAAAATATAAAATAATTATATTTCCCACAGTAAAAGGTCAAAAAACGCGACTGAAAGTGCTAAAAAGTGACATTTTGCAATTTTTGACGATTTTTTTCAATCGCGAATATCTCGTAAACTAAAAGAGATAATTAAGATCTGATCGCAGCGTTTTAATCTACGAACTATTCTCTATAAGATAGGCTAGTTAAAACGGAAATCTGAGAGATGAAATTTTCAAACTTAAGAAAAAAATTGCCAAGGGGGTGGTTGATACTGATTATGATAGATTGGAAAATTCTCTATCAGATAAAAATATAAAATAATTGTATTTCCCACAGTAAAAGGTCAAAAAACGCGATTGAAAGTGCTAAAAAGTGACATTTTGCAATTTTTGATGATTTTTTTCAATCGCGAATATCTCGTAAACTAAAAGAGATAATTAAGATCTGATCGCAGCGTTTTAATCTACGAACTATTCTCTATAAGATAGGCTAGTTAAAACGGAAATCTGAAAGATGAAATTTTCAAACTTAAGAAAAAAATTGCCAAGGGGGGGTGCTAGATACTTTTTTTCGACGATTTTTGAAAATTCATATCTCTTAAAGTAAAAGCGATAACAACCAACGAATTACTGATTATGATAGATTGGAAAATTCTCTATCAGATAAAAATATAAAATAATTATATTTCCCAAAGTAAACGGCCAAAAAACGCGATTGAAAGTGCTAAAAAGTGACATTTTGCAATTTTTGACGATTTTTTTCAATCGCGAATATCTCGTAAACTAAAAGAGATAATTAAGATCAGATCGCAGCATCTTAATCTACGGACTATTTTCTATAAGATAGGATAGTTAAAACGCAAATCTGAGAGATGAAATTTTCATTCTTAAGAAAAAATTGCCAAGGGGGGGTGCTTGATACTTTTTTTCGACGATTTTTGAAAATTCATATCTCTTAAAGTAAAAGCGATAACAACCAACGAATTACTGATTATAATAGATTGGAAAATTCTCTATCAGATAAAAATATAAAATAATTATATTTCCCACAGTAAACGGCCAAAAAACGCGATTGAAAGTGCTAAAAAGTGACATTTTGCAATTTTTGACGATTTTTTTCAATCGCGAATATCTCGTAAACTAAAAGAGATAAATAGGAATAAAGCGCAGAGACTGTTCTACGGACAATTATATATAAAATATATATGAATATAAAATAATAATAAGGGGTGTAAATAAAAGAAGAAGAAAATAAAACTATTTAAAATTAATTTCCTTATATATTAATTCAATCCCATCAGAAACCACACCTCCACATCACGAACCGAGAAAATCTCAGTTTCAATGCGCCGTGAAATCGTTCTCTCACCAACGGTGGCCTCCAATCCTCATCATTCCATGAGAAGCAATTCTCAACCTAATCCCAATCAAATCCAACGCCTCCTACGATTGCAAAATCCCATACAACTCCCCGCACTCATATCACCCACATCAAACCACCATCAACCGAAAACCACACATAGTACCAACTTCATAAAGCACAAAATCGCTTCAATTCACTTTAAAGCTCCAAAATAGAAATCAAACACAACCAGCAATGTATTCAAAAAAATTATGACAGAGAAACAAAGATGAAAGATGCAAGATGAAAAATTAGATTGAGGCAAATGATGCATGCGGTTATTAGTCAGTTCTTTGCAAACCACTCATCCATAAACAACCCTTGGTAGTACTAAACAGTAATTAATTATTAACTAACAAGTTAATTAAATAATAAGTGAATAAAAGTGTTTAAAAATGTTATCATCATACGACATGGACCAAAACGTGCATTACTGCGACACAACCACAAATCTAACAACGCCATTTTCGGTTAAAGATATCCTCAGCATCAATCAAGGCGAATATCAACAATATCACGAAACGCACAATCAAAGCATCCCAGTTAAACAAGAATATGTTTATCCGGATGTCTCCTATCAACAAGCGATTGTATCATCAACGCCGCCATCTTGGGAAACAAATTATCCGAATTATTACGATCCATATGGTTATTACACATCACAACTCATGCAAATACCACCTGAAAATGTACAGACTGATAACATGCAGAATAATTATTGTTATAATAACGATTTAAGTGAAAAACATGAAAAATCTATTCAGGAAACCGGAAATGATCAATCCGAACATGAAAATGATGTTGTTTTAAAAAAATCACCAATTTTAGAAGGCGAATCAAGTAAGTTTTTTAAACTTAAAATTTTTTGATAAAAAATTAATTTTTGATTGTTTTTTGATGTTTAAAGGAAATTTAGTGACAAGTTCCAAGACAGAGCTACGTAAATCCACCCAGGGTAACAAGAGGAAGCGGAAACCAAGGGTTTTATTCTCACAGGCACAGATTTATGAGCTGGAGACGCGTTTCAAGCAACAAAAGTACCTCTCGGCTCCTGAACGAGAAGCCATGGCGAAACGCCTGAAACTCACACCTACACAAATCAAAATTTGGTTCCAGAATCGCCGATACAAGAATAAACGTCAGACTATCGACAGTACACAAAATACAAGTATTCCTGGATCTTCTACTAATAATAAATCTAATAAACATAATAATTATGTTAGTCCCATGCCTGCTCCACCTCAATACCCACAAAATTGGCAGATTTACAATTATAATGATTATCGTGATCATGAACGCCTAAATGACTACTGTTATTAATATTAAATTAAAGTAAAATTAATTAAAAAATTAAAAATTTAAAGGTTGTAAATATTTTTGTACAATATATTTTATTCTAAGTGTATCTCTGTGCAATTTGACCAAATAAATATTTTACTTATTAAATTTTTGTTTTTATTTAAATTTTTAATTGTATTGAGTTAATCTTGGCCTCAGCGGTTCTGGTTCTGGTTTTCAAGTGCGAAGTACGCGTAAAGTAAGTAATTTAAAACAAACCAGACGCAATACATCCGACAGTCAACAGTCCACAGAAGGGAAGTGAAAGAGTTAACGATAATGCACTGCATTATAAATTACTGTGTTCTGCATCGTGAATGCTTTATTATTCGAAGTGAAAAGCTGGAAAAAATTCAAGTAGTCAGCACCAGAGCACCTTTTAACCTAAAAGCTATTTATCTCGATAATTATTAATAAATCAGTCGTAATTTTTAAAGAATTAAATTATATCTTATTGTTTTAAGCTTGAATTTCAATATTAAGGGATCTAAATCATTAATCATTGTGATTAATCAATCAAAAACAGTGTGTAATTGTATCCTGCAATTTCTCCACGCACACATCCTGTTTGCATTGCGGTCCTTCCTTGTTTTGTTAGATAATAACTGTGAAAGTGATTGTGGGGTTTTTGCTTGTGTAAATGTAAATATAATTCATCTTCTTTCGACGTTTTTAGATCAATATTGTCTAGTAGCGACATCTGTGTGAGTATATTCGAAGTATTTTTAAACTAGTCTGCCTTTTAGTAGCGGACGGAAAGGGAGAAAGCTCGACTTGACCCTAGCGCAGTAAGTTGAGTCAAAGTCTGATAGATGTCGCTATATGTATTAAAATAGAAATAATTTTAGGTTTTCAGGTGTAGAATGCGCTGCAATACACTTTAAGCATTATTTTTTTATATAAAAATAAAAAAGTGAATATTTTATTAGATTTTTGAAAAAAATGAATTTTATTTAAATTTTTGCAATTTGCATAATTTCACCACGTTTACTGGTCAATTTAAACGCTTGGTTATTTATATAAAGAGCAATAAACGTAACGATCGTCGTAATTAAACGTCGTGTCGACGCAGCGACGAGATATTTAGCATTTCAACAATGGCAAATAGGGAGGCGAAACGACGGCGAATAAACGCCGGCGATTCGTAATTCGCGTTCGTAATTTCGCATTTCGCAGCAATTGCCCCGCGGGAGGCGCTTATCACGCCCGACGAATCGCCACCCGCCATCACGTCGGCCATTTTCAACATATACCATCAGTTACAAATCAAATTCCATAAAAATTTCAACAAAAATCATAAATTTTAACATATGCAACCAAATACACATCATAATAATATAGGTGTAATTTGTTGCGTGTGTGATGAGTTGCCTATGTGTGAAATTTAATACAACCTGTAAGTGCATGAAGCTTGAAGTTTCGAGCGCGCTATTATTCCACGTAATAATATTCAATTACGTCAAAGCATCCACAGCGATCATCATCATGAGAGCGTCGAGCGACATAAAAGAAAATTGCGCGCCCGTTTCGACGCCGCCGAACTTATTTACACATCTCTACACTTTACAGCTCTCACACACACCTACACACACACAGAGAGAGAATTTGCGCGCTGCGCAAGAAAACGCTGCTCGTTATTGCGCCGTTTTCGTAATCAAACGAAGCGAAATGAAGTCGTTGAAATGCATCGTCGTCGAGGGCGCGCGCGTCGTAATTACGCTGAAATTAAACGTGGATCTTAATTGTTCACGAGAGTGAAGACGTTGAAATGTCGATTCGCACGATTTGCCTGCGAGAGGCACGCATTCAAGGCGAACAAAATGCGATGTAATTATCGCATTACTTAAAAAACATTAACATAAAACGTTGCAAAAATTTATTTTTATATTTTCACGTTTAAAATGTCAGTTTTTAATGGTTTTGAGATACAAAAACTGGTACTTTAAACATGGATAACCAAAGTCGTGACTAAAGTACTTTAGTCACGGGTTTTAGTCACGGGGTTGAGATTGCGCCTGCGCATTTGCACAAAACGTAGAAATAAAATGAAAGTAGAAAAAATATTGTCAGCAACACGTGGCTAAACTTTATTAAACACTCTATTGATTAAACGCTCGTGACTAAAACTCCCGTTTAGCCACTTGATACTTAATAATTTAATTTTTGAAAAAATCTGCGTGCTGATGGGATTTACACGTTTACAAATCGAGTGATGTGTTACCTATAAAGATATTTATGGCGATGTGTTACTCGCGCTCCGATTTAATGCGTTTCCATCAGTCAAAGACGCGCAGGTTTATAAATATGCGCTGCGAGAGGAACATGCGTGTTGAGCAGTTGAACCCGACGCCGGGTGAGGAAGCCCCTTCGACGTTTAGCTCGTTTAGCCGCGCGCAATCACACACGACACACACTCGTACACAACAAACGAGCAAAAGCGTTTATGTTCGTCTAAATGAGCGAGCGAACGACTCACTTAATAGATTCGTGTGCTGTTCGCCCTCGACTTTAATGCCCACATGCCCACAAACTGTTTTTTTCCAGGCGTGGAATGTCTATGGGAGTGAAACATTGAAATTTCATCAACTAACGCCATCTATGTGAGTATTTATAAAGTTATCATGAGAGGTTATACTTGGGTAGCTATTTTGGTACTGTAAAAATGCAATATTGATTTCCAAAGTTTTAGAAAACAAGAATTATTTATAACTTAACCTAATTTAACCTAAAATCAAGTGTTAAATGAAAAAAATTGACAAAAAAGGAGCAAATTTTTCCAAATAACGCCATCTATGTAAGTATTCTTCAAGTTTTCATACCGAGCAATACATTGGCGGCCATTTTGATAGCAAAAATGATAATTATACATAACCTAACTTAAAATAACCTAAAATTTCGTCTAAAATTTAAATATTCAAGTAATTGTGAGTAAAACACTGTAATTTTACCAACTAACGCCATCTATGTGAGTATTTCTTAATTTAATATACCTAGCAATACATTATCGGCCATTTTGATCCTGTATAAACCGCAATATTGATTTCCAAAGATGAATTTCATCTCCGATGACACAATGATCTCGTCCCAATATAATTGAACACTAATGAGCATGACTGGAGAGAAATTACGTTTGTGATTGTTGTGACCGCGTCGTCTCGCATTGATTAATCAAAGAATCAAACGATGCATATCACAAATAAAACGCTGTGTGTCCAATGACGGCGTAGTATCATTAAACCATATTCGGTGGCTCTCTTTGATCGGACGTTCGACGCATGATTAACCAGCAACCAACATTGCACTGCAGGACCTACTCTTCTACTCTCTTACTCTACCAATACATACAGAGTGTTCCACTGGAGAATAAGACCACCCAATCGTCGAATATATCGGGACACGCCGCGGTCGAACGTGCCACGCATTGTTGGCGAGATAATAAATTACGTTAATTGTTGACAGCGGCCGTGGGCCGCGCGAGCTCGCCGATGATGCCCCGGCGAGAAGGGGGCATCGATAACATCTTAATTGAGCCGCGCAGAGAGAGGAAGAGGAGAAAAGACGTCATCAATCGAAGACTCGCGAAACCGGATCAAGAAGTAAACCAAAATCAAGAAAAAAGTAAAAATAAATAAAAGTCGGTAAAGTAGAGCTCTGTAAGTACCTAATTGAATTCTAACCTCTCAATCAATACCTATTGAGTATTGTATCACTAGAAGAAAAGAAAAGAAGAAAAAACTATGACATCAATGTCACTCACTCACCACACAATTGTCTAGGGTCCACCATAATGGGCCGTTGTTTCAACGAGATGGCGGATATTGTCATCGAAGGTAATCTGAAGTGACTCTTCGTTGTTTGCGGTGAGTAGTCACTCGGAATAAATCGAAAATTTCCAATTTCACTTCAATTACGTCTCTAACCTGCAAAAACAACATAACCTTAGTTAATACATTAGTTCTGCTAATGTCCGCTAGATGGCATAACAATATATTGTATATATTTTCTTGGTATAAGAAAATTATTCAAAAATATTTATTTTTTCATGTATTCCGACGGCATTGTTTTATTCATTCGGTATAATTTCTTTAGAATTCCTCGCGGTCAGTTTTATGGCCCTTGGAGATTTTTAACGGTCACATCTCGCATGGATTTGCGGACATCTCAATATCACTTTGAATTTCATGCCTGTTATTTTATTAAAACGTCTTTCTGGGGAAGACCGGAAAAGAGGAAAATGTTTTTATTAAACATATTTATATTTTTATGCATTCGTTGCCATGGTAACAAGACATTTCAAGGATTTTCAGTAAATAGGACCGTTTGTATGCGCCTATATTTTAATAAAATTTTACTTAATACAATCCTGGATTTAGGTGTGTATGTGTATGTTGGTAAGTCTACATCAACGCTATTTACTCGTACATTTAAGGTTATGTGATGTTTCAAAAAAATCTTAATTTTTTTCTCCTCGCTAAATGACTATTAGGATAATACTAGAGTAAATACGATTAAGAGCGTGTCCTCCACCAGCGGGTAGCTTTCCCAGCGGGGGTTGTTACAATTCGGATGTCGATGTTTTAGTGCCTCACTTAACATAAACTCCGAATTGACTCCGACTCCGGTTACACCAGCGTCGCCCACCACGCTTAATAAATCTATATATGTATGGTTAGGGGATGAAAAAATGCGACGCCTGCCTGCTAATACCCCTAATGCGGCGTGCAACCAAACAAGACGTGATTTAAAAACAAATACCGCACGAGGGGATGAAGTGTCACCCTTCGGCGGGGCTGCTCGCAATAAACAGTTTCGGATATTAAATATTTGCCCACGAGTACAATTTCATATGACGCGCGGCAGATTGCAGTTTGACTTTTGGAGGGTGGTTGTATGTGAGGTTGCGGTTGTAACTTCAAGGGAGGAAGGAAAAAATACAAGTATTGAGTTTCAATGTGACCAGCCGTCGGGAATGGAGCAGATTTTGATGGGAACAAATAGAAATTAATAAAAATGACAATTATACATAACCTAACTTGATATAATTTAACATAACCTTATTTCTGTGCCCAGAAAATCGTATTTTAAAGCTAAAAACAGAAAAAAACTTT